ACAAATAATCCAATATGGCAAGGAAAGATTAGACCTGACTAAAGGAAATTTCTCTTGAAGAAAATTAAATAAATCTCACAGAGGGGAGTGAGTGAGAGAATCTGGTTCAGGGGCTAGAATAATAAGGAGAAGGAAAAGAGGCTTTCTCCACCTGGTACACTAAGCTTTTATATATATATATGTCCTTTGTGATGAAAGGGTGCAACCTTATGATATAAAATTTCCATTTTAACTCTTGCACATAAAGAAAACTGAACTGCTTTATGAGTTGAAATCTCTAAAAGTGAGCTTTACATTTGTTACTATGAAGCAGACCAAAAGTGTTCTGAATAATTTTAACCCTTGAGATAGCTTGTTTTTATTAAGCTTAGATTGTAAGTCTACATTCTAGAATGTATGCTTTACAAAGAATAGGACTAAATTTCAATGAACACAAAAACCTAAATGAGTACAAGAAGCTGGTGTAGTGTCACATGCCTTATAATCCCAGTGACTAGAAGACTGAGGCAGGAGGATCACAAGTTTGAGCCAACCTCAGCAACTTGGCAAGAACCTGTCTCAAAATAAAAAGGACTGGGGATGTAACTCAATTGTAAATTACCCCTAGGTTCAATCCCCAGTACCAAAGATAAACAAAATAAAATTATAAAAAAATGAGTATAAGAACTTTATCAAATTCCTTAAGATGACATATTTTCCTGTTCTTAAATTTTACTAACCCAACACGTAATATACAGGTTACCCAAGCAAATCAGAGAAGCTGTGGAGTATGGAAAAGATGAAAACCTACTTCTGCCTCATTAGGACTCTCCAGCCCACTCTGTCTGATGCTGGCAATCAAGTTCTTCTTCGGTACTACCAGAGGCAAAGGCAGAGTGATTCCCGGAATGCCGCCAGGACAACCATCCGCCTGTTGGAAAGCTTGATTAGATTAGCAGAAGGTTTATCTCTTATCTGGTGATACTTCTCTTGAGTGCCTACTGTGTGCAGAGCATGTAGCTTGGAAGTGTGGAGTCAAGAATAAATTGGAATAATCCCTACTCTAAGATGCTCACAGTCACTTAAAAAGTAAAGGCTGTGAGCCCTAAGACTTCCACTCATCAGAGGACAGATAATGGATGTCAAGTGGAATGTTGTATCATTAAGAAAGAGGAATCTTGGTTGACATCTCAAGACCTCCCATAACTTAGCATACCACTATTTAGAAAGCCTCATTTCTGATGTCTTCTCAGTTCTATTAGCTTTTTTAGTGGAAGAGTTACTTGTTTAGAATTGTTTTCCATATATCTTCTGTGGCTCTTGCTCAGTATTTTCCAGTCATGACCCATCCCCATTGTTAAAACAACCAAATCAACAATGCTATGTCCTGTCCCATTCCTAAGTCCTAGAACTTAACATATATACGTATAGCTAATGTGCCTCTCAAACATTTATTTTCTAACATTGGCTTTTATATTTTGGATTATGTTTAAATAATATTTAAAAAACTTTCCATGAACTTTATGAATCACATGATAAAATAATATAAGCTTAATAAAAGATACTATAAAAGTAATGGACCTCATTTTTTTCCAAGGATTTATGTCTAATATTAGGGCAAGAGTACCCAAAATTCAAGCTTGCTTGTCAGTAGTTTTGAAAAGCTCATAAATCATAGATTAAAAAAAAACAGAATTGAGAAATGAGTTTTATTTTGTGTAGTTTTATAATAGATTAAAACAAGTACTAAAAGTTGTTAAAGTATTAAATATATGTTTCTGTAGCACCTTTCTATACTATCCAGAGTACTTTCTCATGGATGTATACAAAATTGCATGACATGTGCAGAAGGATCAGGTCTATTGTTAGAGAAACAACTGTAAAACTAGTTGCATGTAGAATTTTGTGCTTGTTCTAGTAAAATTAATTTGTTATTAGTGTTCATTCATAAAGCATGATTTGTGTGTGTGTGTGTGTGTGTGTGTGTGTGTGGGTGGAGGAGAGCAGGAGTAGAGAATTACCTGTATCGTCCTAAATAATCCTAAATTCAAATGCATTTTATTTTCTTAGCTCATGCTCGGCTAATGTTTCGTGATATTGTGACTCTGGAAGACGCTATTACTGTGGTATCAGTAATGGAGTCTTCAATGCAGGTAAGGATATTTTGTGTATCTGGTGTGTACCTTTATTACAAGCTTTCTTTCAAAAAAAGATACTATCAAGAGTTATAAAAATGATCTTATTCTAGCTAGACCTAGTAAATACTGGAAAAATATCCATAGATAATCATTTAATAGAAGGGGGAAATGTCATAGAGACCTTTCATTGCATCATTGACATTGCTTTTGCTCATTGGTGGAAAATAGTGTGTCTCAACTCTTCTCAGCACACCTGAGTGGTGTTCACAGTCTCTCTGGTGACAGTATCATTTCTTAAATCAATGATTGCCATCCAGAACTGGGAAAGAGAACTATTAAAATGTGAAAAATTTTCCTAGTTGATTCTCATCCCCAAGGTGGCGGTATTTAGTGCTGGTCTTAGCCACCTGGGAGCTGAAAACCCTTCTGTGTCCTTGCTATGTGCTGGATGGCCCTGTGACTCTGTTATTTTCTCACCCCGTAGGGAGGTGCACTGCTGGGAGGTGTGAACGCTCTCCACACTTCCTTTCCTGAAAATCCTCAGGCGCAGTACCAGAGACAGTGTGAACTTATTCTGGAAAAACTGGAGCTGCAGAGCCTCTTAAATGAAGAGCTTGAAAGACTTGAAAGGTGAGGAAGGAAAACCAAGAAAGGCACATAGTGGAAAATAACTTCTCTGGCATTTAGTGAAACAAGGGAATGTAAACTGAATAGAATCTATTTATATTGTTTAAAGAGCATTGTGTCTGTTATCTATTGCTGTAAAATCAACCATTCTAAATCTGAGTGGTTTAAAAAAAAAAAACCACAACTTTAATGCTCACTTTCTGGGAGTCAGAAATTCAGGCAGGCTCAGGGGAGATGGCTTGCTACTTACTCCATGTTGTGTCAGCTGGGGCGACACCTCAGAAACTTAGCTTTCTCATGACTTGTGAAGATGTGGATAATAGACGTGACAGACACATGGGAAGGAATGTGTTAGTCAAAGCAAATCAGTGGAAGCATGGACTCTGGCTGCCTGAAGAAATTTGGCCATAACTTTAATTTTTGCCTATTTCCTAAATACATGGGTTTCTGAAAAGCTAGACTTTGTGTACCTGAGAAAGAGTAGTAAGGAATGGCAAGATTGCTCATTCAGGCATCTTCATATTAATGTGAATGGCTTAATAATTGACCTGAATCTGATAAATGAAGTGCATATGGAGGTGGAGCAACTCCAGGAGAATTTGGGGACCACAATGGGATAGATACTGTATTAAGTAAAACCTTGGAATTCTTTGTTACTATTTATTTATTTTTTAGCTCTAATCAGTTATACACAACAGTAGAAAGCTCTCTGATTCACTGTACACAAATGGAGCAGAATTTTTCACTTTTCTGGTTGTGCATGAAGTAGAGTCACACCATTCATGCCATCATACATGTACCTAGGATAATGATGTCCATCTCATTCTACCGTTTTTCCTACCCCTTTGCCCCCGCCCCCTCCCATTTGTCCCATAGAAAGTTCCTCCACTTATCCCATGCATATCCCCCCATATGAATTAACATTCACTTATCAGAGAAAACATTTGGCCCCTGATTTTTTGAGATTGGCTTATTTCACTTAGCTTGATGGTCTCCAACTCCATCCGTTTACCTGCAAATGCCATAATTTTATTCTCTTTTAATGCTGAGTAATATTCCACTTAGTATATGTACCATAGTTTCTTTATCCATTCATCTATTGGAGGGAATCTAGAAAACCTTGAGAATTCTTTTCTCTTCCATTTGCTTCCTTCTGCTAGCAGCATTCTTTTTTATTTATAAAACCTAATCAGAGCCCCCCTAGGGAAGTCAGGCATGAAGGGACTGGCTTTATCCCACCAGTGCCCAGATGACAGGCTGTAATTAACTTGCAGTCTGTATGAAATCAGCCCCCCTTTCTTTTGGCTTCTCATCTCTTCTTATGATCCAGAGCATGATGCTAAGATCAGTTACTCTGTTGGGTGGTTTATGGTCTGACCTAGTCAGTTGTTTCAAGCCCTTCCTGGATGTGGATTAGCCTTTGGAGGAGATACTCATTTTGACCTGCCCAAGCTACCAGAATCTGAAAAATGATGCATTCAAGAAAGGAGAACCAGTGTTGTATGTTAGAAAAATGACAGTTGCATTAGCCAAATTCAGAATGACTTGCTTAAAGGAAAAGAACAGGAGGAAAAAAGTATGTGACTATCTGAAAGATAGGATTCTGTCATAAAATGTTGTTTCTTATTGTATTTCTTCATAATGCAGAAGTATATTCTAATGTTGATCCTCAAAGCAACAAAACCAGGTGCTGAAAGTCTGACCTACTCTTATCAAGTGAGAAAAATACAACTAGCGTATAGGTTTTTACTCTTCAAGAAAGAGTTCTTCATTCCTTAAGGAAATCACATAATTCAAAAAAAAAAATCACTGATATTTTTGTCATACTTTCTAGAAAATGCTTTACCAGAGACAGCATGCTTCAAATAATGACATTCTAGTACTCACTTTGGGGAATCAGAAAGCAGAGGGCACAAAGATGTCTTATAAGAAAGTATAATGAAACTGCACAAACTTTATTTGTGGGGGTGTTTAATTCCTGAATAAGAATTAGATAAAAATAATAGGGCAAAATTATTTTATTCCTAAAATTTCTCATCATTTAGTATATTGTTATAAAGCTTTAACAAGTGAGTCCTCCTGACCTCTATTTGATGCTGAACAGCAGTAATTTTGAAAGCTACTTGATTTTTTAATTATAACTCAAATTGGTCATAATAAACATGGATTTTCCATGTGAATATTTCCAAATTTACTGTAAATGACTATAACTCAATATTTTCTTAAAACTTCTTTTTTCTGAGTATAAAGGTAAAACATGTTCTTTGTAGGTGGGCTATTTTAGAAATTAGCAGTAATAAGAAAACAAAAATAACAATCTTATTTCCCATAGATAAATACTATTAACATTTTAATGTATGGAAATAAATTTGTATTTCCTTCTAGTCTCTTCTCTATGATTACATGTAATTTTAGAATAATTTTCTCATCTGCTTTTGGGCATAATTTTTTTTTCAGATTTAGTACATGGAAATGGAGTCATATCACACTTTATATTGAGAAGATGTTTCTAGGTTGTTAAGGGCTTTTTAATGGGCATACTTTGGGAGTAGTACAATCCCTGTTAGAAATTCAGTTTCTAATGTGCCCAATATTTAGAATGAGTATCACTGAACAGATCATTCAGAGAGGGTTGGCTTTAGCTCTCTATCAGATTGATAAGAGAGCCACTGCCCAGATTTTATGTTGAAGCATGGCTGGGCTTTGCAGGAAAGGGTGTCAGAGTTACCTGTAATTATCCACTATGAATGTGAATGTTCTAGGGGCAGTGCCAGTGCCAGCATAGAGGTATCATAGAAACCTCATTCCTGGGGAAAGTGACTTTTAGGTGCACTAAAATCCAGTTCCTTGGTTGGGTGAAGAGATCTACAGAGAGCAACAAGCCAGTTATATTTGAACATTTTTGCATGAGAGATAAGACCGAACATTTTACACTAACCTCCAATCTTAAATGAATTAAATGAACTTTCAGAGAGACTTAAAATTGTAGACCAACCATTGATTCATTTTCTTAATTTTGCTACAATTTTATTTAAAATTAGAATGCCTATCACAGCACTGAACTCTATATTGATTTTTTTAATAAAGGATAATCCTTTTGCTGCCCTAAGCATCTATGCTTGATATTAATTTGGAATTATGTTAGAGTTAAACCTTTAAGATGAGATCTCAGAGACTGAAGAAATGAAAAGGTTAATGTAGATTCTCTTCCCTTCAATACCTATTTTCCTTATTTGTCTCTGTTCCAGGTTACGGAATGAAAGTGCATGCCAATCCCAACCACAGGCAATGGAGACAGAAACTGTTCGAGGGTCCTCAGGGAATGATACAAGGGAAGAACCAAAGTTTAGAACTTCAACACAGCAGGACCTGAACTGTAGCCCACATACTTCCTCCCTGGGAGGCAGTCCCCAGGGAGGCCCACTTCTAGACCTCCAACCCCATCTGAGGTCTGACAAAACAACAAGTAGACGACATTCAGCTGAGCTCAAAGATGGCAGAGATGACGGTTTGGACTGGTTTGACTTCATGGCATCAAATAAGATAGAACCTGAAAATACTGTTCTCTCTCCTGGTCCCGAAGCAACTAAAAAAAACAAGGCGATGAAAATCTCTAAGAACAAATCTCAAGGTAGGGAAAAGAGTGGGCCAGGCCAAGAATCTAGGCCACTTCTATCACCAGGAGCAACAGGTGGTTCACTGAGGCCAGGAAGTGTGGAGGGTAAAAAGGCCAAAAGGAGAGCGTTGGTGTCTGAAGCAGCAGTCCCTACTGATGAGCCCGACTCGGTACTGACTCAGCATGTCCCTAGCAGGTTGCTCAGGCTGCGCAAGGATAAGGCCCAGGTGTCATCCAAAAGTACCACCAGTGTGCCTTCACAGCCCACAGACCCTTCTGCTGCTCAGTCCATTCCTGCACATGGGCCAGAAAAAACACCAGAAATATCCAAAGGAAAGAGATTGAGATCCCTTGCTCAGGAAGAAGAGTCTGAACTTGAAAGTGTTAATCCAGTTCTCCCAGTAGCCAAACTGGCAAAGTTTACTTTCAAACAGAAGTCAAAACTGATTCACTCCTCTGAACAACACAGTCATGCATCTTCTGGCACAAGTAAAATAACAGTTTGTAGTCCTAAAAGTCCCCAACATAGAATACGAAGAGAAGCAGCTGTGTCTGTGCAGGGTCCAGAAAAGCTGACCTCTACCTCAGGAAACAGAAACTTCAATCAGCAACAGAGTGAAACAAAGGAGCTGTTACATCAGCCACCAGAGAAGGATGGATCAAGAGAGGAGAAGGAATGTGGCCCTGAAAAGAGGGTTATTCAGCCTGAGTTGGAGCTTGGGAACAAGACTGGGCATTCTCATCTAACTTGTGAGACAGACAGAAAGGAAGAGGTTTCATCCAGTAAGAAAAGCAACAAGGTTCACGCTGGCACGTTGGCCAAATTGGCAAACTTCTCTTTTACTTCCTTGCTGGAATCCAAATCAGAGTCCCCTCCTCCTCCTGAAAGGAAGAACTGGGGTGAGAGAGGCCCCAGCCTGCCTCCTCCAACCACAGATCCAATGCTTGAGAGTAAAAGGAAATCTTTTCAGCTGCAGGGCTCTGCTGAGAAACTGATTCTTTCTAAAAATTCTCTCTTCACTCTATCAGAGCTAGATGATGAAGCATTAGATTTTGACTGGGATGAAGAGATGAGAAAAAAGCCATAATTGTGGAAAGCTTTCTGATCAAATTCACCTTCCCTGACTCAACATAATACCCTCAGATTATCAGTGTAGTATTTATGTGTATGAACTATCATCCATGTTCATTTTGAGCACCATTCCAAATACCAGCTTCCCCATCAAGTTTTATTTTTCAGGTTTATCTTCATGACTTAAAAAAGTTGTCTAATTTGAATAAGAGTGATAACAGCACTCTAAATGAATGGATTGTGCTTAATTTTGCAAATGGAGTATTCTCAAAGATAGTTTTGTTATTTCATCTTTTTTTTTTTTTTAATGAGGAGGGGCTCATTCCTAAATCCCTTCTTTCCAGGAAAAAAATGCTTCAAAGGTAGCACTCATAAGTCCAAAGGCAGATGAACTCTTCTATTTTTTCTTTTTTATCTTTACCCAGGATGTACCAAGTATGGTGAATATTTATTATCACTTGGAATTATCATGTGTTTTTCTAATATTACTTTTGTGTTTATTCTCATGCACCAGATTAAATGTTGCTAATACTTTTCTCTGAGAGGTATCCTTACAACTCGATAGCATTCTGAAGATCTGGCAGCTAGTCAAATAGTAGATTTCTGAAGTACTGATCTTTTTGAGTTTTCTTTTTTCTTGATCCAACATTATGTGCCTCAGATTCTTTTTTCCTCTCAGGGACCTACCTTTCACACAACTTAAATTATTATGTGGTCAGTAAAAAAGAGTGTACCCTAGTCTCAGCCATACATCATGTCACATGTACCCAAATGGTTAATGTGGAAATGTGATTCCTACCAAGATATGATTCATTTGTCTTTAAAATAAAGCAAATGATTATTTTTGACAGGAATAGATAACTTAAACTCTGTTTTTCTGTGTGCATTTAAATCACTTCTTCCTTTGGCTTCTAGCAGGGTCCTTGGGATTACTTAATTACAGTCTTTCTTTTCTAAATTATGCGTTTGTACCATAATGATTGATTCCTTAATTGTCTGAAAAACTTCTGGGCATGAAAATTACTCAAATATATGTACTTTTCTAAGCTTTTACTTCATTAAATTTAGAGAAAGCCAAATTTGGTAAACAAATTTTTCTTAAACATTTCAACATTAATTCAAATATTGACTAATTAAAATTTCTAAAAAAATTTAAACTATGAGTACAAATTCAGTATGTATAAGTCTTTTGAAGTCTTCAAACATCTTAAACAGCTGATAAAAGATACAAGTAATGATCATAAAATTGACTTACACCTTTTCTAAAACATTAAGATTATAGTGTAAGTAATTTATTATTTCTTTACTTGGTCAGTTACTTCCTGTATAGTACAATTCTTAATCTAATGTATTCCTACTCTTAGTACTCTTTCTTTCTTGAGTTTCATTATTCTTCAACAAAGGGGAAAAGAAAGAGTTTGGGGTTTTGACCAGTTGAATCTAGTCTGGATATGGTTGTTGTATAGACAAGAGTAATTCAAACCTGAGCCACAGTGTGGAGCTGACTTTTTATGTTTGAAACTTGGTATATTTTGTAGTAATGACATACATTGGATTTTACATGCTGGACAATACCTAACCTATTGGCTTGTCATTAGGGTATTTTGATCTCTTGTTATCATTTAAAATGTTTGAATTCTTTGTTGGGAATCTTCATTGTTTCATTTTGTTTCATTTCTTAGTGATAAGAAATTCAGTTTTGTAGTTTTTTAAAATTTTTTATTCTTATTTGTTATATATGACAGCAGAATGCATCACAATTCATATTACACATATAGAGCACAATTTTTCATATCTCTGGTTTATATAAAGTATATTCACACCTTTCGTGTCTTCATACATGTACTTAGGGTAATGATATCCATCTCATCCCCCAGCACCACAAAAAACCAAATAATTTTTGTAGTTTTTTCTAGTCAACTTGTCAAGAACATTAAGTAATTCATATTTTATAATACAGTGTTTAATTGTATCTCTTCCTTGGTCTTTTGTGTGACCACCTGGGCTATTTTCTGTATGGTATTATTTGTGCCCATCATACTCCTGTTATTTATATTAGGTTGACAACATCCTATTATTTGTGCAACTTTAGTACCTATTACCAGGCTCATCTGGCTGAATTATAATTTCTTCTTGCTTATTCTTTGGTGACTACCTAGATAGAAATAACCACATATGGCAATATTATAAACAAAATTATTAGCAGAAAAATATTTGGTGTAAGCACTCACCTAATTATAAAAAAAAAAAATAAACTTTTAGTACAGCCTGCTCTTGCCTTATGGCCCCTTGCTGTACTTGTATTTGATTTAGACTCACAGCTTGGTCAGTGGTCCCTTTGTGCTGATTCCAGTGTCCCTTTAGCACCCTGATATTTCTGAAAGCATCCATGCTATCTGAGAACAATCCAGACCCACTTTTATTTTTTCCTCCCCCATGTTACAGAATCAGCCAGCCCCAAGGTAGATCCGTTTTCTTTAGAAGTCAGTGGTATTTAGAGACCAAATTCTGGGTCTCAGAGATGCACAAAAGAGTCACTAGTGAGCAAAGGTTCTACCGCTGCTATTGGGCCATTCTTAGTGGCTGCAGAATGGAAAATATTTTAATATGTTGAGATCACATTTTATCCTGCTGTGCCCTTCCTTTCTTACATTATATAATTGTACAACTAAAACAATCTCTCATATGGTCTTTGTGTGTCAAAGAAACACATAGAGGGAATGTGTAGAATCTAAAAGATCATATTGCAGACAATAAAGAAAGATGTAAAAATTAATCTTTAATTCCAAATCATCATGCCAAAATATTTTATCACAGGTCATTGGACTCCTTAATATCATTTTAATAATTATAAAATTATTTAAACAATAAAAACTATACTTAATTTTTGTGAGTGAAAAGAGTAGACTTTAAATTATAAAAAATTTACCCTGTAAAAAATTAATCTTCAGTGTATATTTACATTAAAAAGTTAAAAAAGAATTTTATTATTATAATTTCAGTATTCTATAGAGATACAGGCAAACTAAGCAAATTATTCTGATATTTTTAACTCTTTTAGGCTTTTTTCTGAAAGCATACCAACAAAATTTTAATAATAAAGACTCATTTTTGGTTAACAAATTTTAATTCTAACCAATTTACATTTTTTTAAATTAAAATGTCAGTTTTTTTCTAGAGCCAATTAGGGTCTTTAAAGAAGTTGTTACTTCCAAAGTACAAAGACAAGTTAATGACAATTCAAATCTACGTATTCTTTATGTGCACTTGATCTTGATCTCTTACCCAAATGCTAACCCACCTGGAAGACCAAAGCTAGAAAAGAGTTTAGGGCAACCACTAGGAGGATTCCTGGAACTCTTAGCCAGACCACAGCATTGAGCAGTTCAGAACCCACCTACTCTGGAATTGGGGTTATTACTAGGGACTACCCAGGACCTTGTGAGTCTTTCAGATAGTTTATCAAGCAACTTAGTTCCAAGCTTAACAACCTCACAGATGGGAGAGGAAGCTGATGCCGGTTACTCGGTGTTCAGAATAACATCTTTCATGTCCGCTTTTCATATTATTAACATCCAAGGGGGATAAAGGGCTCTTGGCTCATGTTAGTACTCTCTCCAATTGGGATTTTGCTGTAAGTGTCCCATCTGTGTGCAGCATAGTCTCTGAGGTATGTATGGAACCATCACCCACACAAATCCTCTTTACTATCACTAAGAACATACACAGGAAGTGGTGGTCACTCCCCTTATGACACTCTCTGTTTTCTTAAATCAACTCTACAGACACTCCTCTTCACTTAAAGGCTTAAAAATGCATCTAAAGATAATATTTGTGAAAGTATACTTGACAAACGATGAACTAGATGAAATAAAAGTGTTGATGTGTCTATGTAAATACTCTAGTGTGAGATATAATACAAGGAAGAAAATATGGTGTGTATACACACACATACTTACACTGGGCCTGATCTTACCACGAAGTAGAGACTAAATTTTCTCTTATGAATACAAATTATTTTTAGACCACTTTTTCTGTTTGGTTGGAACCTTAATGCTTTAGCATAGTTGAGCCATGAGAAAACAAGTTATGTTAATGTAGAGACAAACATGGTTTAACTTAGGGTTTTCATAATAAATTAAGCTAGTGTTGAAATATTGCTTAAGGTTTCAGATCTAATTTATGTATCAGTTCCCACTGATCAGGTGAATTGGGTTCTAGAATTGGCCAGCAGTAACCTTGTCATGGTCAGTTGTTTCATCCATAAAAGCAGAGGACCAGGCATATTTGAGTCAGTATTATTGAGTTACAAAAAAAGAAAAACCTCAGAAGCTAGCTGAAATAAAAGTAGGTTTGCTGTAAGAATATAGCAGGGAGACTCATTAAGAACAGGAAAGTCTGACTGGATCAATATGGCTGCAGAGCTGGAAAGTCAGGCCTGAAGCTCTTCCCCATGTCTCTCCTGGGTCCTCAAGTTCCCTCCCTACTACTTGTCAATGGGCTGGCTTTCTGCCCTCTGGAAACCCTGTTGTCTGTGCTTAAGGCTTGTTCACTCCAGGCCCCTATAGCTTTTGATCGACTTTGGAGCCTGGTTCTAGATCTCTCTTAACTCTTCCAAATGAGCATCTTCTCTCACTGATTCTGGCTCTGTGCTTTTTATTTCAAAAATCTTGATTTGTTCGCCTTGCTTCAAAATGGAGTGGATGGTGGAGTGTGAGTGGCCACCTGGCATAAACCCAACAGCCTGGGCTGTGAATAGAGACAGTCACTTGAGTGGGAAGCAGTGGCTGGCCTGTCTACCACATCCCTTTCTCCAAGGGGTTTTTGGCTACAGGTCCTATAATTCTATAAACTTCATTGATTTTGTTCTACTGCCTGAGTTGAGAGAACATGTTTCTGAAGATACTTGGATAGTCTTTCCCAAAGGAGCCAGGTAAATTGCTAGCCATCTGCAGCAGGTGATTTCCAGGGACTGTGAACAGCAGCTTCTGGCCATACTCCAAGGGCAGATGAGGCTGCAGACCACAGAGAACTGTTTATTGTGTCACTGCCTATGGAGCTTCTGTTTTCCTATGCTGAAGTTGCTCATCACAACTATATCAGAGCTGTTAAAAGTACTTAGATGAAAATCAATAGATGAGAGTATGTGAAGGGTATTTCCCTGAAATACATTTAGGAATACTCAGCTATTAAGACACATGTTTACATATCCCAGATTTTTTTTAACTTTACAATTGTCAACAAAGCAGAGACTAAATCCTCTTTGAGGAGAGAGAAATACCTAAGTACGTTAGGCCGCCTTTAATCTTTTTCAGAACTATTCAGAAGGAATAGTACCAAATAATTTTAAATGGAGAAGTAATGCAATTTCAATATTTAATGATCTCTTTTATCATTGTAGGGAAATTAAACTCCTTTTACAATTGGAAGGCCTAAGATCATCTTTTTTAAAAAACATTTTATTTTTTAGTTGTGGGTGGACACAATATCTTTATTTTTATGTGGTGCTAGGGATTGAACCCAGTGCCTCACGCATGCTAGGCAACCGTTCTACCCTACCCCCCCCCAAGATCATCTTGAGGGATCTACCATATCTAAGATGATTTGCTGTCTCCTAAGGCTCTCAGTGTGAAGTGGGGAATGACACTGTTGCCTGAGGCACTGTTTTGGTAAGCTTTTTTGCTACTGTAACCAAAAGATCCAACAAGAGCAGTTTTAAAGGAGGGAATGCTTATTTGGCATTCACAGTTTAAAATGGCCAATTCTGTTGCTCTGAGCCCAAGGTGAAGCAGAACATCACCCCAGAAGGGCATGGCAATCAGGAAGCAGAGGGAGTAAGCTGTACTTACCAGGGACAAAATACAAATCCCAAACCTATCTCTTCCAGCTGCACTTGATCTGCCTACAGTTACCATCCAGTTAATCCATACCAGTGGATTGATCCATTGATTAGGATACAACTCATCATCTAATCATTTCACTTCTGAACTGTCTTGCATTGTCTCACATATGAGCTTTTGGGGGATACCTCACATCTAAACCATAATAGGCACAATAAGTCCCTAGTGAGGCTCCTCATGTAGACCTAGAATTAGTAAAGGTGAAAAAAAATAAGAATCTGTATGTACATCATGCTCCATCCTTGGATGAAAGGAGTGATGCCTTCCAGACACCCCAGTAGTTTCTATCCCAGTTAAGGTTTTGCCCTAACTTCTGTGCCAATCTTTCTTTAGCAAGGTTACCAGTGACTTTCAGTGCTATACTCAGTTCTTACCTTTCTTGATTCCTCACATTTGGAGTCTCTCCTCTCCCTAATTTCCTTGATATGCCCTGGCTTTACAGGACATTGTGCCTGTGGTTTTCCTTCCCAGCCTCTTCTGACCTCCTCAGCTTTTCCACTCCTTACCTGGTTTCTCTTCTCCTGTACCTTTTAATGCTTGAGTGGACTAGTTCTCTTTCATCCCCATCTATTTCTTACACCCCCATTTCAATCTTAGAGTTCTTAATACCCATTCATTAGCTGAAGTTTCATTTCTTGAACTCCACACTCATATCCAACTCCTATTCAATATTTCTACTTGGGTATTTGAGGACATCTTAATTTCAATATCCCAAATAACATACCTGATCTCCCAAAATATACTGCACGG